GAAGATTGACATCTCCAAGTATAGGTGAGTCGAAGAGGACTCCCTCTTGAGATGGTTTGTCGAATTAGAAGACGCCATAAGGGCGCGACGCATCGACGATGGGGAAATGCAAGTTGCATTTGCCCAGTCAAATCTGTCAGGACGTGCCAAGACTTGGGCTTTGGGGCTCAAGTTGCACGACCCATATGCGTTTGGGTCGTTGGAAGTCTTCAAGTCGCGGCTTAGACAAACGTTTGAACCGCCTAGAGCTGAGTTCAGAGCTCGAACTGAATTTTTGAAGCTCAAACAAGGTAAGCGTGATGTGCACGCTTACGCGCAACATATACGACATCTCACGAGTTGTATAAGTTCCAACCCGGTGGATGAACACACGTTGGTTTCGGTGTTCATGCAGGGTCTTGCGGATGGTCCCGTCAAGACTTACCTGTTCCGACTTGAATTTAATTCACTAGAACAAGCCATTTCCTTTGCAGAACAGGAAGACTTCAGTCTGAGACAGGCTCGCGCCAGCTCGACATCATATCGTCAACCGAGACGATATGACAGCGGAGGTCCAGAGCCGATGGAAATTTGTTACGTAGAGAGCGAGAAGGCTCGCTCTACAGACTACAAGAAGTTGCAGAGATGCAACAGATGTCAAAAGACAGGACACTACGCTTAAGAGTGTAGTGCTATTCTCCAGTGTCTTGCAACACTGGGCGTAGTGACCGTCCACCCATGAGAAAGGGGCAGGGACGAGGGTCCGCAGCTGGTGCAAAGACGCAACAACGGGATGGACCGTCAAAAAACGGACAGGATCAGTAGGTGCGGAGCACCCTACTGGTCTAGCAACGTCAAGAGAATTTGTAGGCCTCTTGATGATGGTTGCTCCCAACACACAAACGTTGTGCGTTGCTGCTCTAGGTAATGAGGTCTCACTCATTACCTTGAAACTCGAAGTGACGAATAAGTTGTCCCTTCGAGCTCTAGTTTATTGTGGGGCGTCCAACAATTTTGTGCAACGCCAATCGCTAGAAGATGGTCACTTTAAATTCAGTGAATGTGACACACCTCCTACGAGGATGACGGTATGTCTTGCGACAGGCGCATCCGTAACCGCCGTGAAGCGTATAGAGAAGATCCACTATACGGTAGAAGATACCCAATATGACGATGACTTTATCGTACTGGATCTGGATGACAAATTTGATGTCATCCTTGGAATACCGTGGCTCAGAAGGTACGAAACGCGGGTAAACTGGCAACATCGAACAGTAAGGATGCCTGCCGCTTGTTCATCAGATGGCCATCTGATGAACGTTTTGGAGCGTCCACAAGCGTGTGGATGTACTACAAGTGAGTGCGATGGCCTCACTTGTGGTACGGTCGTTAGTACGACTGCACAAAACCTTAGTGTAACAAACGGTTACACTTCGGAGCAAAGTTCCGGCGGCTGTGAGGAAACACAGGCTGCGCCGAAGGTCCACCACTCGAATAAGTCGGGTGGACTGGGACAAAGATGTATCCCTAGCGGGGAACATCTTGAAGAGAAACAATCGATCGCTCAGGTTAAGCGAAACGATAATCCTAGATCGACTGGAGAGTCTTTCGTAGAGGATCTCGCTGTGGTTGCGCAACCACAGCTAGAGGAAGTAAAGGGAATAAGTCCCAATATTTCAAATACGGCGGAAATAAGTTCCCCGAAACCCGAGGTAATAAGTCCCCGGGAAGCCGAAGGAATAAGTCCTTCGAGGCCTGAGGGAATAAGTCCCCAGGAAGTGACAGAGACATTAAATGTTCTAGTCAATGACGGATCAAGTGTAGGCGCTTATACACTTGATCTGATTGCGCCTCCGAAGTTAACTTCGGAGATCACTCAGTTGCCAACGCTCGAACATAAAAGGTTCTTGCGTGATCTGCGTAGTGGCAAAGTCAAGCAGATCTGCATACTCGTCGCTGACGACGAGTGTGTAGCCGACATAAGGTCAGCAACAGTGTTTACTGAGAACGATAGAGTTCTCAGTAGTTCATCTATGGACGAGAGTGTCCCAGATGAAAAGACACGAATTGAGCGATATGACTCCCAATCATGGGAATCGCTCAAGAAAAATCCTCTCTATGAAGATTTGGTTGAATTCAAGGATGTATTCCCTGAAACCGTTCCGTGCGAATTACCGAAGGATAAAGGTATTCGACACGAGGTCGAGCTTAAACCAGGCTCGAAGTACTGTGTCATGAAGCAGTGGCCACTGCCTCGTGAACAAGTACTTGCGGTCGACAAGCTCTTTGCCGATCGTTTAGCTGCGGGCCATGTGAGAGAATCAACTTCCCCACATAGCTCTCTGACCTTCTGTGTGCGAAAAGCAACAGGAGGGTGGCGGATAGTGCACGCGTTCAACAAGTTGAATGCTGCAACAGTACCGGCTCAGACGCCGATACCAAGGAAGGACGTAATCATTGATGGTATGTCAAAAAGTACCATCTTTTCGTCCATGGATTTGATGGGTGGCTTCTATCAAATCCTTATGCGAGAACGGGATATACCTTATACCGCAGTTAGCACGCCTAGCGGCATGCTCTGGGAATGGCTAGTAATGCCACAAGGGCTCAGTAATGCCCCTGCCACGTTCAACAGGTGTGTATCACATTTGTTGAGACCAGTACGAGAATTCGCGCCGAGTTCCCCTTTCGATGACGTCTTCATCCATAGTCGGGCTATGGATGGAAAGTCGGACGTTGAGGTTCACAGGTACTACGTCCGACAGGTTCTTACAATCATGCGAAAGCATCAATTGTATGCAAACCTCAAGAAGTGTTTATTTGTAGCAAGCAAAATACCACTTCTTGGGTGCATCGTTGGTAAGAAGGGTGTACGTCCTGATCCAGAAAAAAACAAGGCGATCACCGACTGGCCTGTGCCGGTTGATGTCAAAGGTCTTCGAAAATTCCTTGGGATAGCGGCGTATTTGCACAAGTATTCACTCAATTACGCCGAGATGACTGTACAACACTCTCGTTTGTTGAAAAAGAACGAGAGGCGTTTATGGAACGCTGAATGTCAGCGCTCCTTTGAGGGTATCAAGCAGAGCTTGATACAATCCCCAGTCCTAGCAATTGCCGATCAGGACAGGCCATTTCATGTGGTCTGTGATGCCAGCGATTTTGCAATCGGCTGTGCATTAATGCAGTACGACCTTGAAGGCGTTGAACGCGTCGTCTGCTATCAGTCGCATCAGCTGCAACCAGCTGAGCGGACCTATCCAGTGCATGACAAGGAACTAATTGCCTTAAAATATGCACTCGCAAAGTTCAGAGTCTATCTGTTAGGAGATAGACCCTTCATTGTTTACACTGACCATGCGTCATTACGCACGGCAGTGAACAGCCCGCACCTTTCACAACGAATGGCGCGGTGGTTGTCATTCTTTGCAGAATACAACTTTACGGTAGAGTACAAACCAGGACGACTTAATGTCGTCGCTGATGCACTCTCACTTCGTCCCGACTTTGAACCAGCAGTGAAACCCAACAGTGAGACAGCCACTGTTGCGCTTATGACGTCCTCAGTGCCATCTTCAACATTACATGATGATGTGAGGCGGGCGTATGCCCAAGATGGTGAGATTGTGAAGTTGTTGACACATCTCTCACAACCATCTCGAGAATCGTTGAAACGATTGTCGTCTGCGTTTTGATCTGCATCAGATCGATACACTACTCGCAACGGTTTACTGTATTATACAGCCGTTTCTGGTGACACACCACGTGTTGTCATTCCAGATGATACTGATCTGCGTTTGCGGATCATGTTCGAGTATCACGATGCTCCTATAGGAGGACATCGTGGCCGTGAGAAAACATATCTCACGGTAAGTCGAGACTTTTACTGGCCCCGCCAGTATCAGTTTGTGCGAAAGTATGTTCGCGCATGCGAAGTCTGTCAAGGAGTGAAGTCAAGTCCTTCACTGCGTGCACCTTTACAGCCTCTACCGGTTCCGGCTGAGTGCTGGGAATCCATATCAATGGATTTTGTCTTCGGGTTACCCAAAGGCGCACGCGGGAATACGGGTATTCTCGTATTTGTTGACAGATTCAGCAAAATGGTACACCTAGTGGCTGTACCAGAGTCAATCACGGCCAGTGGCTGTGCTTGTATCTTTATTGACACCATCTTCCGACTTCATGGGTTGCCCCGTGAACTCGTATCAGACAGAGATCCACGATTCACTGCTGATTTCTGGCGTTCCGTGTTCAAATCACTCGGAACGCGCTTGAAGATGTCGACATCTGATCATCCAGAGTCAGATGGTCAGACGGAACGTGCCAATCGTGTCCTCGAAGAGATACTTCGAGGATACGTACAATCCTTTAAGAGTTGGAGTGAGTTTTTGCCAATGGTAGAGTTTGCCATTAACAACTCGGTGCATGCTTCCACGACACATACACCGTTTTACGTGAATGGCTTGCGCCATCCGCGTGTACCCACCTTACTCGAGTGTAACTGTGGTTTGAGGGGGGAGGGACTCGCGCGAGCAAAAACCGATTTGGTTCACGCTCATCACGCTCTGACGAAGAGGTCATTGCGTTTGACGCCGATATCGACAACATCGATATCGAAGATGATGATGACAGTGAGAGCGAGGAAGCCCTCACTGAAGAGAAGGTTGATGTTGCTGCAGTGCGCTCACAGCACACTGAAGCTAACGAGTCATCAGATGAGTTCATACTGGCTCGTGAAACGGTAGTCCGTTTCGTGCAAGACTCCATCGCCGAAGCGGTGATTAAGCAAAATCAAAACGCTGACAAGAATGGAAGGGCAATCACTCTTTCATTTAATCAAGGTGACTTAGTCCTACTGTCTACGGTTAATCTACCAAAGCATGTAGTGACTAACTTGGGTAGTAGTAAACTACTACCCAAGTACATCGGCCCATTTCGTGTTTTGGATTGCCTAGGCAATGCATACACGATCGAGCTACCACGTAAGATGCGAACGCATCCCACGTTTTACGTTGGTCGGCTTAAGCCGTACCATCAGTACGCTGCTTCTTCCGATGAAGAACGCCCTTGCGCTCAAGCATCTCGCAGAGAGCCTTGTGCTCCCGATGGTGGGCATCGACAAGGGTCTGAAGAGCAGTTATCTCAGCCCGAGACCGGTCGATATCCACACGAGCTACCCTTAACTCGTCACGCAGAGATGTCAGAGCTCTCTCGTTCTCAAGCTGAGCAAAGGCAAACTCAGCTTGATGCTTCAAGACAGTGTCCGCCAGTTGGAGACGCCTGTCCCGCTCATGCTCGAGATCGCCGCGTAACGCTTGCGTTACGAGATCAAAGAAGCTCTCGGAAACACACGCTTCCCCACGATTGTCAGGAGAGCGTCTTCCCTCCTCCTCCACCTCCATTAGAGGACTCTCGCGGTGGCCAGCGCTATCTAGTTGAGCAGCTGTTGAACCACCGCGACGTGAACGGATGTCGGACGAGCTATCTCGTCCGGTGGCGCGGCTATCCCCCGTCCTGGGATACTTGGGAGCCCCGCTCCCAACTGACGGCTGACGCACTGGGTCCGGTCGAGCAGTACGACGCGGCACATCCTGTGCCGCAGAAGGACCGCCGGAGAAAGTCTTCCCGGCACGGTCGTAAAGGGATTTCAGGTTGTCAATCCCTTCGTACATCTCAATAGAGATACGTACGCGCCACCACGGGCTGGTAAGGAGGTAAGCCTCCTTAGGTGCTCGTGCAGAGTTGTTCACACAACATGGGCACGAGTCTCCCCAAGAGAGGCAGGGTAATCCTTTCTCCCTTGACAGACGATGCAGCTTGTAGCGTGCACCTGTCGGGGTTCGCTTTTCAAACTTATCACGAGCTTTGATAAGTTTGTCGTTCCAAGCGTCACGACCTACATCCTCGAGGTTATGGATGTAGGCGTTCCACGCCTGAAGTAGTGAGGGACCATCACGTTTGTGATTCCCACTGTACCATCGATGTTAAAAGAAAGCATCGATGAAGAAATCATGTTCAGCGCGATAGTTTTTCGCACTGGGATCAAGGTGATGGATCCTTGACAAAACGAACAATCGTGTTCGATAACGATCACTCGTCGTCGCCGACAAGTGATCCATGACGGATTTAGGAGGCATCCACGCCTTCTTCTCGGGAGCGAGACGCAAGACATTGCGATCCCGCTCTTCCTGCGACGTGCCGACAGAAGTACTGGCACCTCGTTGCGGAGTGGTGTCCATAGGAGAACCGACACCACTGTCAGCGCCCGAGTCTTGCGACCTCGAGCGCCTTCGCTTCGGTGATGGTTCATCTGATTCGTCAGATGAACCAAAGATGCTACGACGCATAGCATCATCCATGCCACGCTTGGCAGGCGGCTTGATTTGAACCGCCTTCGATGCAGATCCATCTTCCGTATCGGGAGAGTATGAGACACCGATCTCATACTCTGTGAAGACATGAGTGTCTTCATGACGAGCGCCTGCATCACCATTTTTGGTGACACAGGCTGAGTCGCTTCAGCAACCGATGACACATCAGTTGCAGCGAATTCTGCTTCGGCGTCCGCACAGAGACGTGCGGACGCGCTCTCGGCGGCCTTGCTCGCGCATCGCATGGGCTTGTTTACCATGCGATGAAATGTTGGAAAGTGGACTCGGACCAACAAGTGCAAACCCTGTCCCAAATGATTTAGGACGAGTATCCATTTAGTCAATCAGTCACTAAAGTGACTGATGGTTAAGGGGGGGGGTGATGTAACGGGGTGAATCGTTACATAACAATTTATAAGAAATTGTTAATAGAATATAACTACAAGAGTTGTATTCTCAGAATATTGTCATAAGGAAAAATATTCTGCAGCACTTACGAGTAGTTCCTAATTGGTTGATATAGGCCATTATATCAACCAACGAAGACGCGCCACGACAGACGCACGCAATGAGTGGTGAGCAGATAACTGATTTACACATTTGTATTTAGACATAGTTAGATGAGGATAAACAGTGATTTATTAACAGACATTAACTATTATAAATACAGTTCTACTTTTTACTTTAACTAAGTACTCGCTTCTTCTTACCGTCTTCCTCTGCACGTACGATTGTACGAGAAATTCCGAGGCACCGCCTTATTCTATCGTCAGAATAAGTAGCTTGTACTGTCACCAGTACAAGCTTCAGGGTATCCCGTTACATATAGGGTAAAAGGAGGCTTTCACGCAAAGCAAATTTCGAGCCTTCTCCCAGATCAGCTTGTTGCTGATGATATCGTAAATCGAAATAAATTAGTCTAACATAAGGTCTTCAGTTGCTGCGTGTCTCCTGGCTGATTGGAATTCTAGTCAGAGTTAACGCTATAAATTGCCACGCAGAAAATGATTTTGCTAGAAGTAGAGCTCTCAACACACCGTCCCTGCTAGATGTATATCCAGTAAATCATTTGCTAATTTGTGAGGACCGATGAGTGGCATGGTGTGCGCAGATTAGATTGCTATGCTGGCCTGTGGGGAAAATCGCGCTCTTGGTATCGTTCTTGCTCGTGGCACGTCGGAGCATGGAAAAGCTCCTAGAGACGTTGACCCGGTCCAATTGATTGTGTATTTTTGCTCTTATGGCAGACCAACGTGAGTGTGTTCATAACGACTTGATCTTTGTATGTACTTTTTTGGTCAGGTGCTGCGTATTACTGAACTGTGATTGTGACACATGTTTGCGTGTTAGAATCCGTGAGATGTCTTTACTTCTTAATGTTTTGTAATTCATGGTTGTTATAAATTTGATAAAACTTGCACGATTTTAAGCGCTCATCCACTACATCGACAATACGGGCTTTTAGCAGTTAAGAGCTCGGCAGGAACGTCAATTGCCCGGTCGAAGATTGAAGAAAGTATACCCAGCAGCATTGCTCGGCATTGCAAAATTTACTAATCTTTGACTCTTCCCGGTTCCATTACTTATTTCATCTACTGTCGTAAGAAATATGGTCTGCTAGAGCGTTTAACCTCGGTCTTGCATTTCTTTTGAGCTATTTCAGATAAAAACTAAAAAACGAAGTCAGCCATAAATTTAGCCAAGATGCATAAATCCAATCTATACACCAGTCTCATACCTTAATATCACAGAAGAACACCTTTTAGCTCATTCGATCGGACGGATAAAAATATCAGCTTGTAGAGGATAGTAGGTGGTTGGGTTGTCACGTCTTCACCATTTTTTAAGGAGTGTGTACATTCCGCGTGTTGTAAAATCTGCAAGATGAACCTGCAAGAAACAAGAACAAAAAACACGAAGTCTTTACAATCCTGCCCAGAACCACTGCCCATAACTGTAGCATTCGTGCTTCATTTTTTTAATGCCTCCAAAGACTTCATACACAGTCATGATGGATGCTGAACGCTTCCAGCTCTTGTAGAAAGTAGCAATATGCTCAGTCTCTCGCACAACTAGAGCTGGCTTCTGTAGGAAACTCCATAGGGCCGTCAACTATCCTTTATCATACAACACTCATTTGGAGTGTTTTCAGACATACCAGGGCGAGGTTGCGATGCGCGGAGAGTTGCTTAAGTCTATACGGGCATTATTCCTTTGACGACTCTACCCAGATGCTTACCAATTCTGTTATTCAGTGGATGGCTACACCGGTTCAAAATCCGATACGGCATTAAATCGAACCGTCGCTTAATAAGTGTAGTTCATCCGACACGGTGCTCATTAAACAAGCAAGACCTGGCTTGCGGAATTTTTTTGAAAAATCAGAAGACATCTACAATCTGGATGAAATAGGCCTTGTTATCGTATGCAGGTAGTCTGTCCAAGATTGACTGATTCTTCATTATTAGCGAACGTTAGTTCTTGAATTTGCTCTAGGCTGAAAAATTGGCTCACAACTAAACAACTAGAGGGCAAAATCAAAGCAAAGACCATCTTACATATGTTGTTTGCTAAAATGGTAACGGTATAGTACAACTCTTACTTTGGATCCTTGGCAAGCTATTAAAATCCGAGATCTTTCAAAAAATATCAAACGTCACGATCTCGGCTATAAATATTGCGCAAACACGAAGGCTGGATGAAACGAATTTCATTTGGACATAGTGGTATAATGGCGAAATGAGCGGCCGAAGTGTCCTTCTGCTGATAAAAAAAATCTAACGTTTTCCAATCGATTAACTGCAGCTCCTAAGCAATATCAAGGTCCACACTCTTTCCGAGAATATGACCTCAAAATCGAAGCCGTGTAATGCCGCCATACTTCGTAATATGGAAGCATACTATTGGCATCATTTAAAATTAGAAGATAATAGATGCAACTGAAGCTGGTGCAAGCAAACAAAAAACGATTAGCGCCTTATAAGGAATACAGATGGTATTTAAGGCATGAATTGTGACGTCGAACGCTAGACGAGGGCAAACTGCTTTGCACACTGTGACATGCGCATTCCAGCGGTAATTCGCCACCACAAAAAACAGGAGAGATGATGGAGCCTGATACAGACATCACTGCCGGAAGGATTTAACAAGCTCATCAGCTACGATACGACTATTCTAAGATTTAAACTTCGAAATTATCCCGGTGAAAACACTGTCACGTTTTTCCTTATTGGGGGTGTAATTATCGCCCATAAATTTCCTATTCAACAGGAACAAGGACGAGATGTTACAGCCAAGTGTAGCGGGGCACCCTTTGTTTGGGGTGCCGCGAAACTTCACGTACATTAGAACGTGCAGAGGAAGCTAATCTACTTATCAACTAAGTTGATTAGAGGGTAAAAAGAGAACTGTATTCAATATAGTTAAGCTATCAATACAACTCTAATCTTTATCTAACTATGTTAAACTACGTCTTCGTATGACGACAACCTTCTCACCACTAATTGCGCGCGTCTAGCAGCGATTGGTGGCAACCTATGGTTGAATGTCTTTTATCAACCAATCTTGGAGCGGCGCATGAGCATTATCCAAAAGGGATAATATCCCTTCAACATTATCCATCTCGGATAATATTGGCAGGGGATTGTCATGCTAGACACTGTTCTTAATGACACGGTTTGGTGTCAATTTCATGTAACGGGCTACCCCGTTATATCATCCCCCCTAACCATCAATCACCCGTTGATTGAACTAGAATTGATTGGGACAGGGTAATTACCGTTGGATCACTTTGGGAAAGGGAGCACTTGTTGGTCAAATTCCATTCATTTGCCAATACAACGCATGGTTTCGAAAACCAAGCGAGTTGCTACTTCAGCAGCAAGAAAGGCGGCTTCACGCATGCGTGTAGCCGGAGAGAGTACTTCTCACACCTCAGCAGCAGGTGATTCGTCGCCTGCTGCTGTGAACAGTCCACGTGGTGAGTCACTACGTGCGACAGGTACATCCGTTGCGTCTGCAGCGGGTACCACGAGTCGTAAACAAGACGAGTTTGAAGTAGAGCTCATCTATTCCGGCGAGTCAGATGATGTATCCGACTCGAAGACGACACCTCACACTTCCGGATCACACGAGGCGGACACTGCAAGAGCCAGGTTGACTGGCTCTGGTCAACATGGCGGCATCATGCTCGAGATCTTCGTATCGAGCGATTGTTCCGATGAATCCTCGCCTCACGCGAGTCCATCCACCGATACAACGCGTGGGGAAGGTGGTGATGCACCTATACATCACCACGAGAGAAGCAACTCGAGGGATCGAGCTGTCACTAGTATCAGTGCTCATGCTGGCACCAATCAAGAGGCCAGGGACCGAAATGTCTTGCGCCACGCTCCCCACGTGGAGTCCGTGGATGCCGCCATCCAGAGAGTTGGACCGGTTGGCCGGCATGACTACCGAACGGGATCGAATCCCGTTGTTCGGTCGCAGGAAGATTTGTCCACCTAATTCCAGCACGGAAACTATCCGTGCTGAGGAAGAATTCTTCACCGATGCGTTCTTCAAACATCGGTGGTACAATGGTAGCCGTGTTCGAGACGGCAAAGCCTTGGTGCAAAGATGGAATGCCATCATCCATGACATCGAGTGTATTGGCCGTGAGGCCTGGCACGCCAAACTTGATGCAGCTCGCATCAGGTTTGAAAAACGCAACCCAGTCGTGGCGCGATACAAGTTGCATTGGCTTTCAATAGAGGCAGGATTACCCTGTCTCTCGTGCGGTGATTCGTGTCCAGGTTGCCTGGACAACTCGAACCGTGCCCCTATGGAGGCCTACCTCCCTAATGATCCCTACTGGAGGGCGCGCATCTCTTCTGAGATGGCCGAAAGGATTGACACTTTGCAATCCCTGTACTCGCGTTCGGGGAGGTCTTTTTTCCGACGGCCATTCTTAGAACGCAGCGGATGGGTCTCGTCGTACTGCTCGACGTGACCAAGGACATCAACAATCAGCTGGGCAAGAGGCTCCAGCTGTGCTACGCCGGTGGATAGCCACGCCAGCGGACGAGGTAACTCGTCCGGACGCCATTCACATCGCGGTGGTTCAAAATCCCCACCAGAAATTGTTGACCACTGCCTGAGTCCACCAAAGGATGTGGTGGTGGTGGGAACACCTGATCCGGCTCGAGGGTCGGATCAGCTTGATGTTCAGGAACTGAACCGTGTAACGGAATAGTTACACGATGACTTGGCTCATGAATGGATTCGGCGTTATGTGATCCATGACCTTGTAAAGGATAATTACAATTCCTTAGCGCACGATCGTTCGAACGATCGTGCCGAGTTTGCGTTCGCGCGATTTGAGAACGAACGTTCGACTCGTTTTCTTCGTACGAGCTGTCTGTAGCTCGTCGAGACATCGCTGAACTGCGTGAACAGGTCGCTTCGCTAGTCGACCAGACTGGCTCGTTGTAACAGGACCACTCGAAGGTGGTCTCGGCTCTCGACCGCGGAGGTGTTCTTCGCATCTCGAAACGGGCTCGTACTGATAGTACGGGCGGAGACGTCCAATGTAAAACGTAGGATGCGTACGCATCCTACAAGGCAGTTCGATCGTGTAAGCGTTGCCCATGCGGCACAACACACGAAATGGACCGGTGTACTTGGGCAGTAATGAACTGCTGCCCATGTTTGTCACTGTGTTTTTGTATATTTAATGCTGACAGTAAAAACTAAGTTTTCTTTATTAAATGAAAGAACATTTGCTCTTCCATGTTTGTCTACGTTTCTCTTCTGTCGGTCTAGTGCATCTGCAATAGAGTCTTGAACGAAGTGGACAACCGCTTCGCGAGTCAGCAGAAATTCCTCTGATGGCTCATCCTTGTCAACACCAGTGCGCTTCGTGTGCACTGCTGCAAGAACGTTGTCTTCACCAGTGAGGGCGTCATCGTCCTCACTGTGGCAGTCATTGGAGATGCTGAATATGACAGCATCGTCGCCATCGTCATCATCGATATCGATCCCAACGACATCGGCATCCATCACGTCGACACCATTGTCGACGGGTGATAAGCAAGAACCAGATCGGGTTCTGTTCGAGCGAGTCCACTCCCCCTTTAAACTAGCGTCACACTCTAAGAAGGCGAGTAAACGTGGATGGCGTAGGCCATTCACGAAGAACGGTGTATGCGTTGCCGACGCATGCACCGAGTTGTTGATGGTAAATCGCGCCGTCGGCTAGAACTCATTCCAACTCGTATACGGGTGGATATACCCTCGAAGTATCTCTTCGAGGATGCGGTTGACACGTTCCGTCTGACCATCTGTTTCTGGATGGTCAGAAGTTAACATCGTTAAACTTGTTCCAAGTGAATGGAACACGGATTGCCAGAACTCCGCTGTGAAGCGGGGGTCCCCATCGGACACGAGTTCATGGGGTAACCCGTGAAGTCGGAAGATAGTATCGATGAAGACACGAGCACATCCCTGGGCTGTGATCGACTCCGGTACAGCAACAAGATGTGCCATCTTGCTGAACCGATCCTCAAACACAAGAATAATAATATTCTTTTGAACGTCTTTAGGAAACCCAAAGACGAAGTCCATCGATACGGACTGCCAACACTCTGCCGGAATCGGAAGAGGCTGCAAGGGTGCGCGGGATGAAGGAATAGGCTTCACCCGTTGGCAACCTTTGCTAGTGCGAATGTATTTGCGCACAAACTCACACTGGCAAGGCCAGTAGAAGTCACGTATGACCGTGAGGTAAGTCTTTTTTTCTACCGCGATGCTCACTTGTTGGGGCAACGTGACAGTCATACATGATTTACAATCGCAAATCATGATGAGCAGAAACGACAACACGAGGTGTGTCGCCGTTGACTGCTGTATAGTACATCGGTCCATCAAGAACAGAATACCGTTCGGTTGAAGAGCGGTATTGATACGTCAAGCTTTTCAAAGCATGGCTACATGGAATAGAAACGTAATCCATCTATCAGAAAAGAGACTCATCTTCTGTGTATGCTTTTCGCACGTCGTCGAGCAGATTCGACGACGGAACACTCACTGTTAGTGTTGCTACAGTGGGACCACCCCTACTGTTGTGTTGAGCAGTCGTCTCGAAATCGGGCCGACGCGAAAGAGCATCAGCGACAACATGAAGCCGTCCTGGTTTATACTCAACGGAGAAGTTGTACCCCGCAAAGAAAGAAAGCCACCTCGCCATTCGTTGCGACAGGTGTGGACTGTTTACGGCCGTGCGTGACGACGCATGGTCGGTATAAACGATGAAAGGCCTATCTTCTAAGAGGTATACCCGAAACTCGGCCAGTAGATATTTCATGGCAAGGAGTCCATTGTCAGGCACCGGATAATTTTGCTCAGCTGCTTGCAGCTGACGCGATTGATAACAGACGACGCACTCAACGCCGTCTGAGTCTTACTGCATTAACGCACAGCCGATTGCAAAATCGCTGGCGTCACAGACCACATAGAATGGTCTGTTTTGGTCCGCAATCGCCAAGACAGGCGATTGTATCAAGCTTTTCTCGATGCCTTCAAAAGAGTGCTGACACTCAGCGCTCCATGACCATCTCTCGTTTTTCTTTAGTAGACGAGAGAGATGTGCGGTCATCTCGGCGTAGTTGCGCGAGTATTTGTGCAAGTACGCCGCCAATCCAAGGAACTTTTGAATTCCCTGAACGTCGACTGGCACAGGCCAGTTGATAATCGCCTTGATCTTTTCCGGATCAGGGCGTACACCGTTTTTACCCACGATGCAGCCAAGAAGTGGTATTTCGTTTGCTGCGAATATACACTTCTTGAGATTCACGAACAACTTATGCTCTCGCACTAGTGTAAGAACCTTCCGGACGTGGATTCTATGAACCTCCACGTCCGTCTTTCCATCCATAGCCCGGCTATGTACGAAGACTTTGTCGAAGTAACTCGGTGCGATATCGCGTACCAATCGCAACAGGTTCGTAACACATCTAATAAACGTTGCGGGGACGTTACTTAGCCCCTGTAGCATCACTAGCCACTCCCAGAGCATACCACTGGGGGTGCTCACTGCTGTGTACGGGATGTCCCGTTCACGCATGAGGCTCTGATAGAATCCATCCATCAAATCCATGGACCAAAAGATGGTACTCTTTGCCATACCATCTATGATGACATCCTTTCTTGGGATCGGTGTTTGAGCCGGTACCGTTGCAGCGTTCAGTTTCTTGAACGCGTGCACTATCCGCCACCCTCCTGTTGCTTTTCGCACACAGAAGGTCGGAGAGCTGTGTGGGGATGTTGATTCCCTCACATGCCCAGCCGCTAAACGATCGGCAAGAATTTGTCGATCGCTGTTGCCTGTTCACGAGGCAGTGGCCACTGCTTCATGACACAGTATTTCGAACCGGGTTTCAGTTCGATCTCATGCCGAGTGCCATTATCCTTAGGCAACTCGCGTGTCACGGATTCCGGGAAAACATCCCTGAATTCAACCAATCCTTATACAAAGGATTTGTCTTCTAAGACTCCCAAAATTGAGACGTGTATCGCTCAATCCGGGTCTTCTCATCTAGGACACTCTCGTCCATCGATGAGCTACTGAGAACCCGTTCGCTCTCAGCAAACACTTGTGCCGACCAAATATCGGCGACGTGCTCGCCCTCTGTGACGAGTACGCGGATCTGCTTGATCTTGTCACTACGCAGATCTCGCAAGAATCTTTTAGATTCTAGCGTTGGCAACTTGACTACCTCCGAAGATGACTTCGGAGGTGTAACCAGATCAAGTGTATAAGCGCCTACACTTGATCCGTCATTCACCAAGACATTCACTGTCTCGATGATTTCCTGGGAAAACACATCCGCAGGTGGTCGGGGATCCACACCATCAACATAACTCTCTCGGGAGTTATCCCTCTCAGGAACGCTGGAACCTTCTTCCAATACGTGTACTGACTGTGGTTGTACTACCACAATCACTTCCTCTTCGATCGACTCTCTGATAGTTGATCTCGCTTCACGTGTTTTTCACCTTGAACAACACTAATCTCTCTTCTTAAATACACCCTTCTTGGTGTGCATCCGTGTTCCAGTCCACTCGATCTCTTCGAGTGGTGAACCTTCGGCGCAGCCTGTGTCTCTTCGCAGGTGCCGGAAGCTGGTTCCACAGCGTAGTGGCCTTCTACACTGTGATCTTGTGCAGTCATACTAACGACCGTACCACAAGTGAGGCCATCACACTCACTCTTAGTACATCCACACGCTTGTGGACGATCCAAGACGTTCATCAGATGGCCATCTAATGAACAAACGGCGGGCATCTTCACGGATCGATGCTGCCAGCTGATCCATGACTGGTATTTTCTTGGCCATGGCAGACCGAGGATGACATCAAATTTTTCATCCAAATCTAGTACGATGAAGGTATCATCGTACTGCTTCCATTCTAGCGTGTAGTGGATTCCCACTACACGTTTGTTCACTGTTACGGATGCGCCTGTGGCAAGGCACACCGTCATCCTCGTTGGAGGGGACTCTCGCTCAACATAGTTGAGCCTACTATCCCCTAGCGACTGGCGTCGAAAAAAATGTTTGACGCCCCGCAGTCAACTAGGGCGCGAAGTGACATTCCACTTGTCACTTCGATCTTCAAAGTGATGAGGGACACCTCGTCACTAGGGGCAGTAACACACAGCGACTGTGTGTTGGGAGCAATCTTCGTCAAGAGTCCTGCAAATTCTCTTGACGTTGCTGGATCAGAAGGATTGTCCGCCCTACTGACCCTGTCCGTTTTTTGACGGTCCGACTTGCTGTCGCGGCTTAGCGACATGGTCGGACCCTTGACTTGGACTTTTCCTTGGCCAACGATGGTCATCACGTTCTGTCTTTGGACGTGTTGCGGTGCTTGGGACACCACACTTATGAGCGTATTGTCCAATATTCTGACAGCGATGGAATCTTGCCGTTCGCTTGTGATTCAGAGAGCGAGAGTTCTCGCTCTCGGTGTAACAGAGTTCCATTGGTTCGGGACCTCCTGTTTCCTGTTGTCTTGTCGGAAGATAGTTTGACTTAGCCTGAGACTGTCTCAGGATGAATTCTTCTTGTTCCGCATACGCTATCGCCTTTTCCAGCGTATGGAAGTCCTCTTGGAACATGTAGGTCTTTACCGGCCCATCCACAAGGACATAGATGAACACGTAGATGAGCGTGTGCTCATCAACAGGGTTTTCCGTAAGGCTGCTCGCAAAGTAGCGTAGGTGCTGTGCATAAGCGTACACGTCACGCTTACCTTGCTCTAGCGTCAAGAGTGCAGAGCATGCTCTGAACTCGGCTCTCGGTGGCTCAAATGTATTTGAGTCTCTTCAAGCCGAGACTTCAAGATCCCCAACGACTCAAACATGTTTGGGTCGTGAAGCTTGAGCCCTAAGGCCCAAGTCTTTGCTCGTCCCGTCAAATTTGACAGGGCGAAGGTGACTTGCATCTCGTCACCCTCGATGTGACGGGCCCTGATGGCGTCGTCTAACTCGACGATTCATCTTAAAAGGTAATCTTCATTGGTTCCCTGGTACCTTGAGATATCAATCTTCAAGGTACAAGGGAAGACGCATGTGCGTCGGCCCGCCCATCGACTGATGGGAGTCTTGATGCTGTAGCAAGGCTATCTTCTGTCGTTCGACGACAAGTT